ATTACATGCGACTGGAAGAACTTCTTACAAAACAGCTTCTAGCGCTGGATGCTGTTGATCCGCAAGGCGACGAGCGGTGCAAGGCTGCTAGAAAGCAAGCGGTGAAGCTTGCGCAAAATATTCTGTACTATCTGGACATGAAAACAGATGAGTGGGAATACTGAAACAGCCATGGCCTGACGCTGAAGAACGTTTTTTTCCTTTGGCACTTTACGCAGATCGTTGGCAGCACATGCTAAACGTGGTGTGCTCTGTGCTTGCCTAAATCACGGAGGTTGCATAAGCAGTTGACTTGGCTATACATCTGCTGTCCCACGCAGGCACCCACTTGCCATGGCAACTGGCGGTATGCCATCAGCAATTCTGGTCATTGCTGTAAGCAAAGAAGTGTGATTCTCTGAAGGAATAGCTTAATACTTGATCAAGTGGCTGCTTTTTTTTTTTTTTCCTGTTTTTGTTTCAATAACCTTGTGCAATGTTCAGTGAATGCAGATTTTTCAAAGATGCAGGAAATTCCTGATGGTACAGTACTAGCAAAACTATTCAGAGAAGACTGGACATGAAAATTAGTACTCAAGCATGAGGCTTCATCCAGCAACTTCATAGCAGTCTAGATATGCTCTTAATGTGCTGTTATGGCAGAAGGTATTAAGTGCAAAAAACCTGCTGGCTTTTAGGTTGCACTTGATTTATTCCATCCATCACACCTCTCTGGGTGTTTGGATTTCTTGCTTAATGGAGCTATAATGCCAACTGCAAATTAGCATTTGCATAGGCAAAGCCAATTATGTCTATTTTTTCTAATAGCTGGGCCCTCTGATTTGCAAAAACAGGTCTTCTGTTGGTGGAAACTCTTTCAAATTATTGCTTTAAGGTACTGAGGCTTGGAGAGGAAAATCTGTAAATATATACTGACCAGATAAATGCAAGTTTGAGGATTTCACACTGCCATCCATAAAGCCCTGGAAACTGCACTGAGCTTTATTTGGCGGCTGCTTAGGTGTCTTTTTAGACTCTGCTGTTAGATCTTGTTTTGACTTGTCTTCACATTCAGTGAAAACAAACAATTCACTTTGAAGTGAACAAGGATTTCGGAATTACTTTTGTAAAATTAGGTAGCTAGCTATAAAGATGTCCCTAATGATGTAAATGTGTGTTACATATTTCATACTGGTCAGGTGTGGCTTCAAGCATGTCTTGGAAAAGACTTGTGGCAAATGTCTCTCCTTGCAGCTCATCACCTAATTGTTTTAGTAACTTCGTAACTTTGCTTGCTTGTACTATTGTATGCACCTGCCTTTTTATTTGTAGCTGCTAGTGCCAATCACATTTCTACTATAGCATGTTTTTTGGCATTTTTTTGAGAGCATGGCATTAAAATGAATTAATTATAAAGATATATTTAATTATGGATACTTTGCACTTAGCTCTTTCATGTTGAATGAATTATTGTTCTACAGATGATGATTTGCACCACTTTAAGAGTAAAAACCATTTCGGATGTTAAAATAGATATTTTTAGATCTATTTTTGGCTGATTAGGGACGACAATACTGTCTGTGAGAGACAAGTGCCTTTATGACACCACTAACTTACACCCTTACATGTAGATATAGGAACCGTTTACTGGCAGCTTGATGCATTTGTAATCTTTGCAAACTGGATTTCTCACGTATGTAACTCTACTGTAGTATATGCCAAATGAACATAATGCGATAGGTGACAGTTGTTCTATAAAGTCCTGAGGATGAGTATCAAATTTGGGAAATTCAGATTCTGCTTAAAAATTAATACATTGATGTGGAGATGGGGGATGTTGGACAGGACTTCTGCGCCTGTTGCTACAAGGAGGAGAGAGTATGTTTGCTCCATAACATGCTTTGAGGTGTTGATGAAAGGCGGTGTAACTTGAGAGTGTGAATATGTTTTGTTTGTGATTGTGCTGGTGATTGCTTTGCAATTTAACTTGCCAAAAAGATCTATTTTTCGATTAAGTACGGTGCCTAAGGCACACTTTGGCAATGACGGAATGTTTGTCGGAGGATTCTCTCTGCTCCTTCAGAGGTACAACCTTGTTGAATTTCTCTCTCCTTACCTCAAAAAAATCATTTCCCTTAGTTAAAATTCCAGTCTATATTTATATCTTATGTGACTAATACAGAATATTAATAATATTATACACCTGAATTATTTTACTCATTTCAAGCTTTCTACATATTTGAACTGCAATTTCTGATTTGCACTTACATTTTTAGGAATATAAGGATTTGATAGCATAAAGATGTTATTCATTTTTCTTTAGTGTTACTGTCAGGTCTGCAGTGGTTACTTGTAGATTGTTTAACAGTTTAGTGTCTGTGTTCTTAGGAGGTTATGTGTAGCTTTATAAATGTTTGAACTTCTTACGTAAAAATGAGTAAGTATAGTTTTTCTGATCTGTTCTGTTTTAAATTTCTGTGTCTTTTAGCTTTTCTGAATGAATTGTTACGCCTGTGTCTCTAAGGAGGCAAATGTATAAGGTTAGTGTAATGTTGACTGAGTCCAGTAGCAAGATATTCTGTGGATTAAGCTTTTTTCCATTGTTCTGTAATCTAATGAATTGACTATTTAAATTTTATGGTAAAATCCTCATCTGGAATGGGATTAGTTCACAGTTTTTGCATGAACAAAGATAATGAACTGAATATGCTTAACCAAAAAAATAATGCACAGATTTTTCGAAGTCCTGCTTTTGTGCTGAAGAATGTAATTTCTCTGTTTTTTATATCCCAAAGATTGAGGGACACACAACTTTTCTACCCAATATGGCAGGCTAAAATAACCAGGAAAATGTAAATGGACCAAATTGCAAAATCCTGCATTTTAGTACTATACTGAACTATAATAGTTTCTCTGTGTCCCATGTAATCTGTTGTAGAGCAAAATAAATGATTGGATATGTGGGGGAGAAGTAATCATACATTGCAATTCCTATTTGTTAAATATATTTCTTTTTAAATTAGTTTTCTTTAGTTCTGACAGTGTTTATTTTCATCATTTACCACTCAAAGTGTTTTTTCTATGTTACCAGTTGGAAGGAGATTTTTGTTAAGTATGGCTCCTACTTTTTGAATTTAGCAGAAATTAGTGTATGTGCTCCTCATGGTGTATATGTCTTGATTTATTGCTGCATAGGATATGACGTTTGTATATACAAATTGGAGATTAAATATTGCAGTGGTATATTCTTGATTATTAATAAAAATACATTGCTACCTTTTACTAGGTATTCATTTGAATGTTATGCTCTGCGGCCTTTATTTATTTTTGAATGTGAGTTATCAGAATGTAAATGATTTTTGTCTTAGAAAAAGTGTTTTTATTAAACATGTAGACAGAGAGCTCTCTTCCCCCCCCGCCCCCTTCTTTAAAAGTTTGCTTTTTCACTGCTGTGTTTATGAAAATAAAGTTCATGTGTGGAAACCACTCCTCCCTCTGCTTGCTAAATCTGCTGGCTTTTGGTTTTCCCTGCATTTAGCCTGGCATTGCAATCATTGTATCAGTTGGTGCTCGCGTTCTTTCTTCAGCAATAGCTTTGTGTGCTCCTGGGCTTCAGCTGGGTGGTTGCTTCAGAAATGCTTGTGGCTGTTTTAAGATCTTGCTGCTTTTCTGTTGAAGGATGCTGCCTTAGCAGGTGCGCTTGCAAAACTGATGGTATGAGGTTTCTTCATGTGTAAGTCAATGTGGATTAAAGAACCTTTAGTAGGAGTTAAGCTAATCTGGTTTTAAACTGCGTAGATGAGGCATGTTCATATGATCGTTCTGATGGCTCAGTGTGTTTTCTCAAGATGCAGTGAGCCAAGTTATCAGCTCACTGCTGATGGAAATCAGAAATTCTATTTCTGCCCAGAAAGCCACTGGCTTTGTGTGGTTTCTGCTGCTTGGCCAACCCCTGTGAGCTGATTTAATACAATAAAATGAGAGAAAACAAACTTTAAAAAAATGCAGGAGGGAGTTTTCTGCGGGGTTAGCGAGTCAAATTGACTTGTAGAAAAGCTTCATGGCGGCCAGAGCTACTGCAAAATGAATGGATGGGTCATGTGGCCATGAGTTAGGGAACAAATCTTGAGATTTTCAGTAGCAGTTATTAGATCAACCTGCATAGTTAGATTTCTGGAGGAGAAAGAAGGAGAGAAGGTGGCACTATCAGCTCCTTCAGACAAGTAGGAATTTGCTGCTTTAGTAATGGGATATGACAAAGACAATACAAATGAATCATGTGTGGAAAATAAACCACTTGCTTTTAAGTGTTCTTTTGTGCTGCATAGTAAGTGATCAGGCAATAAAGAGCACAAGTGGTCATGTTGAAGTACTTAATACAGTCTAGAAAATCTTACCCAGAAAACATGGGATACGAATAAGGTTTATGAAAGTTGAGTGTTCCTATAGGTAACAAGTTTACTGTATCTTCTTTTTCTCCTTTTTAACAATACAGCTTCTTTGAAGGAAACATATTCTTCAAAGACCAGTAAATCATGTGGGCAGTGGCCCTAGGTGTTGCTCAGCTAGCTGCTGACCTGTTTGTCTTGATCAGCTGTTTCCAGAATTTGCCTTGCTGAGAATTTGTATTGTGTGTGTTTGGGACAGGCAGATTTTGGTGCCTGAAATGGTTTAGCTGGAAAAACTCTGTGTTTTATTTCCATATAGGTATAGCCTCTCCTTTGGAGAATTCTCAGCTGAGAACTTGAAGGAGTAGAAGGACTTCAGTACTGAACTCCTGGATCAAAGGCCTGGGGGTTTAAGCTGGCTGCCAGCAGGAGACATTTAAATGGCAGGATCCTGGAAAACATTGCTGCAAGAGGAAAATGCTAGAAGAGACATGAGCAAACATTCAGAGCTGATGTTTTGCGTGAGCTCTGTGCCTGTTCACCTCATGTTTATGACCTTTCATTGAGAAAATGGGTTCTTGGGAGAATATTCCCAGAAACACTGTCAGGCTTTTTGGTTTAGCTCAAACCGAGAAATTATGTTTAAAGCTTTTGCTGAGTTACAGTTGGGCATGACCTAGTTGTTGACTGGTCCATATATTGTTTTGTTTTACTACATTAAACAATAATGTACGTAATGCTTTCATTTATATTGGTAGGCGTGTCCATGTGTTAACTGGAGAAGCTGAGGATGAGGTGTGCTTTTGTTGAAGGCTTGGCACAACGCTTGTCCTTTCTTTCTGCTGCATTTGGTTCTGGGACTGCCAAACACAGGTGAATGTATGAGTTGCACTGCTTGT